AGATTGAGCCTGGTAAAAGTGATCAGGCAACCCAACAGCCACCCGGGTCACTTTTAACAGAAAGCCAGATGCCTACCAAAAAAATGAAAACAAGCTTATGGCTGCTAGAATAGCCAAGAACTTGTTTTAACCCTTCGATTGCCTTGACATGTGGGATTCATCACTGGCAGGCAAAGGGTTAATGATAGTTGAATACTACTACATATAACGTTACTAATTTCACTATGTCTATTCACTGCTTTTTTAAGTAGTATTCTATTGCATAAACAGTTTTACTTTTTAGTTTTATGTAACTATACAGGTGATCTGTGCTATCTAAAAAAACTTGTTTGTATACAGTATATGTATCTGTGTTAGCACTTATGCGGATGGAAGCCTATTTCCCTCTTACTTATGCAGACTGTTCCTTGAAAACGATGGGAAGGAATCTTGTTATTCAGTACTGGTCATTCATAGGGCTAATGAGGATGTACTAATGCTGAAATTAAAATAAAAAGATCCAGTATTTCTTCTTAAACAGACTTTACTGAGGAGGAGCTAAATACCCTCCCAACAGGTAGCATCAGGTGAAGATTACTTCCTGGGATCTGCTGACTGCTGGAAGACCCTCACTGGCAGACACCAAAGCAGTACCCTTCAGGTCTGTTAACAACAGTGCTGCCAGCAGGTGTTCTAGCTTCTAACAGTGCCCTCCTTTAAAGATTTGCCTTGATACCTTCTAACAAACTCCATCTAACAACATCCATATTGCTTCCTGGCACTCCAATATTGCAAAATCAAAAAAATGGGCAGTTTTTCAAAACTTATTCACATACAGTTGCAAGAAAAAGTATGTGAACCCCTTGGGATTACGTGGAGTTTTGCATGAATTGGGCATAAAATGTGCTCTGAACGTCATCTAAGTCACAACAATAGAAGAACACAGTCTGCTGAACATAATACTACACAAACATTAGATGTCGCCATGGTTAATTGCACATAACATGTAAACATTCACAGTGCAGGGAGGAAAAAGTATGTGAACCTTTGGACTTAATAACTGTTTGACCCTCCTTTGGCAGCAATAACCTCAACCAAACGTTTCCTGTAGTTGCAGATCAGACCTGCACAACGATCTGGAGTAATTTTGGACCACTCCTCTTCACAAAACTGTTTCAGTGTAGCAATATTCTTGGAATGTCTGGTGTGAATCGCTCTCTTAAGGTCATGCCACAGCATTTCAATCGGGTTGAGGTCAGGACTCTGACTGGGCCACTCCAGAAGGCATATTCTGTGCTGTTGCAGCCATTGTTTTGTTGAATTACTTGTATGCTTTGGGTCATTGTCCTGTTGCATCACCCATCCTCTGCGGAGCTTCAGTTGGCGGACAGATGGTTGTATGTTTTCCTGCAAAATGTCTTGATAAACTCTGGAATTCATTTTGCCATCAATGACAACAATCCGTCCAGGCCCTGAGGCAGCAAAGCAGCCCAAACCATGATGCTCCCTCCGCCATGTTTTACAGTGGGGATAAGGTTTTGATGTTGGTGTGCTGGGCCTTTTTTTCTCCACACATAGTGTTGTGTGTTCTTCCCAAACAACTCAATCTTGGTTTCATCTGTCCACAGTATATTTTGCCAGTAGTGCTGTGGAACATCCAGGTGCTCTTTTGCAAACTTCAAACGTGCTGCAATATTCTTTTTGGACAGCAATGGCTTCCTCCGTGGTGTCCTCCCATGTACTCCATTCTTGTTTAATGTTTTCCTTATTGTAGATGTGTCAACAAAAATGTTAGCATGTGCCAGAGATTTCTGTAGGTCTTTAGCTGACACTCTGGGATTCTTCTTTACCTCATGCAGCATTCTGCGCTGTGCTCTTGCAGTCATTTTTACAGGACGACCCCGCCTAGGGAGAGTAGCAACAGTGCTAAACTTTCTCCATTTGTAGACGGTCTGTCTTACCGTGGACACATGAACATCAAGGCTTTTGGAGATACTTTTGTAACCCTTTCCAGCTTCATGCAAGTCAACAATTCTTGATCGTAGGTTTCTGAGAGCTCTTTTCTGCAAGGCATGGTTCACATCAGACAGTGCTTCTTGAAACCAGTAAACCCAAAACAGGTGTGTGTTTTTTAAGGGCAGGACAGCTGTCAGCAACACATCCAATATCATCACACTGATTGGAGTCAATGTTGGCTCACTCCTGGCTCCAATTAACTCTGGGAGAAGTCATTAAGCTAGGGCCTCACATACTTTTTCCTCCCTGCACTGTGAATGTTTACATGTTATGTGCAATTAAATCATGGCAACATCTAATGTTTGTGTAGTATTATGTGCAGCAGACTGTGTTCTTCCATTGTTGTGACTTAGATGACGTTCAGAGCACATTTTATGCCCAATTCTTGCAAAACTCCACGTAATCCCAAGGGGTTCACATACTTTTTCTTGCAACTGTAATGCAAAAAATAGTCCATATCTATGTTGTACTGAACAGTCCAAATCTCTACAATACTGTGCAATACTGGGAAATCCTCATTTTTGAACATGTTTGCTAAGAGGGATCCCAGGATCAGTAAAAGGTAAAGTGCCTCACCACAGGGGTCTTGCAGCAGATTGGGTGTCCAAGCACCAGAATCTGGTGATGGGCTGGGTGGCCCTCTGCTGGGGTCTGACAACAGGCTAGATTCCCTGCTGCTGGGGTTTGGTGGCAGGCTGGATGCCCCAACGCAGATAGAAATTCAGCAGTCAGGCTGGGCCGCACTCAATATGCTAAAATACTAAAACATTGTTATAAAAAAACTCAACAAAAAATTTACAGAAATGTAAAAAACTAAATTAAATTGGCTTCTGTAGCCCACAGGAGCCATTTAAAGCTCTTTTCAGCCCTGAAATCTGCCTGTTTCACCGAAAAAGCCCAATTTTTACTGAAATTTTAACAAATCCAAAACTCTCAATTTTGCTTGTCGATAATAACAACTAGACATATATGAATAACAAATATTTTTGTTTTATGTAGTCAGTATGAACTAATATTTCAGTTTAAAGTGTGATACTATTGCTTTCTCTTCTGAGATGAATTATTGTGTTCCTTTACTTAAAATTCAGCATCTTGACCTTTAAAAATACACGTACAATAGCCTTATGGGGTACAGAGTTTGATTGGTCCACAATAAAAATTAAAATGGATTTTGTTCGTTATAGTAAAAGTTCCTACCGCTACTTAGAGCTTTAAATCTTTTGATAATAAGCTAATGTTTGGGGGGCATTAAGTAAAACTGGAACAGACAGAATCTAGAGCAGCTGTGCAAGGCAACCAATCAGCCTATTTGATTAAATCTTGAAAATGAAAGCTAGAAGCTGATTGGTTGCCATTCACAGCTGCTCCAGATTCTGTCTTCTCCAGTCTTTGTAAATTTCCCTCTATGCGTTTAAATGATAGAGAATAACTACCACTTTTTGAAAGGCAACCAGCTCTGTACCCAATGAGGAAACGGTAACTTAGGGCTAGTAAAGTCCTTGTTAAGGGCACACAACTGAGACAAAAAAATTAAGAAAAAAAAAAAAAAACCTTTATAGTGCAACTTTAGTAATGACAGGCAGTATATATTATTACGATTGGGCCAAAATGAACTTTTTTCGTAGATTGTAACAGTAATTTACCTTTACTTTTGGTGATAATTTTTTCATCACACAGTATAAAGCTTTTAAAATGAGATTTAAGGAAGGTTATATGATATAATCTTTCTTGGAGAGCTGTAATAAACTCTGATCACCTCCCTTTGAGTGGCGTTACTTTAACACAATTTGACAGAGGACCTCTAGATACTGAGAGGCTATTAATTATGGTATATCCATTTCCTATATGATTAAGAGGAGAATGGTGCTCAAGTTTTCTCCCTTATCTAGCTATATAATAAGTGAGGTTCTCTTTAAAAAAAATAACAGGATTTGCTTGTTTCCTTGTAAGTATGTGATAGCTGTCAGTGGTGCTCGGTCATGATTCCCAGTAACGGTATATTATGACAGAGACCTCCTGTTTATATCAATAAGAAAAATTTTTAGTTATGTTTTACCCTGAACATCAGCTTTTTTAAACGTTTAACAACGTTGGCACTAGGGCAATTTTTAATTTTTTTGCACACATGTAAAAATCTGCTTTTTTGGCCAAAAATTACTTAAAACCCCCAGAACATTACATATTTTCTCAAAGCAGTGGCCTTGTAGAATAAAATGGTAGTCGTTGCAATTTTTTATGATGCACAATATTTGCACAACTGTTTATCACACACAAATGTTCAGTAAAAAATATAATACAATGAATTTTAGTACATACAAAAACAATATAATACCCATTTTTTTAATAAAAAATAAAGGATGGCGTTTGTGTCGAGTAAACGGATGCCAAACATGTCAAGTCTTAATATTGCATGCACATGTTATATCACGAAAAACAATGATACCCAAAAATCTCCATAGGCAATGTTTTAAGAGCCTTCACAGCTCATCAGTTTAGAGCTAACTCTGGTGCTATAATTATTGCTCTGACTTTGAAGTTCATGGCGATACTTCACATGTATGGTACAACCATGGTTTACATACACGTGAGCACCCTGGGAACAGGTTTGCTTTTGTGGGTGTGTACAGGGCAGTAGGCATTACATTTTAACCACCTTCCGCCCGCCATATAAGGAAATGACGGGCGCAAGGTGGTTCTCTCGTTCTGGGAGAACGTCATATGACATCTTCCCACTCTAAAACACGCATGTGCGGCTCCGGGGGGGTGCAGCGCGGTGATCGGTGGTGCGCTGTGTCCCTCAGACACATGGGGGTTTATTTACTAAAGCAGGAGAGTCCAAAATCAGACTCCCTTCTGCATAGAAACCAATCAGCTTCTAACCTCAGCTTGTTCAATGAAGCTTTGGCAATGAAACCTGGAAGCTGATTGGTTTCTATGCAGAAGTGAGTCTGATTTTGGACTCTCCAGCTTTAGTAAATAAACCCCATGGGGTTTGTGTTGAGTAAATGGATGCCAAACATGTCAAGTCTTAAAATTGCATGCACTTGTTATATCATGAAATACAATGATATCCAAAAATCATACTGACAGCTCGTGAGGAGAGGAGAGACGGTAATCTGCATTCCTCAGAGGGGACATTTACACTGATGATCAGTGTAGTCAGCAGTGCCACCCGTCAGTGTCCGTCAATGCCAGCTGTCAGTGCTCATCAATGCCACCTGCCAGTGCCCATCAGTGCCAGATCAATGCCACATATCAGTGCCTACCAGTGCACATCAATGCCACATCAGTGCCCATCTGAGCTGCCTTTCAGTGTCACCTATCAGTGCCAGTCAATGCCACCTATCAATGCCACTCAGTGCCACATATCAGTGCTGCCAATCAGTGCCACCTATCAGTGCCAGTCAGTGCCACCTATCAGTGCCAGTTAGTGCCATCTATCAGTGCGCATCAGTGCCGCCTATCAGTGCCCGTCAGTGCTGCCTATCAGTGCCGCCTAACAGTACCAGTCAGTGCCACCTAACAGTGCCAGTGAGTGCCGCCTATCAATACCAGTCAGTGCCGCCTATCAGTGCCGCCTATCAGTGCCATATATGAGTGCTGTCTTTCAGTGCCCATCAGTGATGCCTGTCAATGCCCATCAGAGCCACCTACCAGTGCCTCCTCATCAGAGCCCATCAGTGCAGCCTATCAGTGCCCATCACTGCAGCCTCATTAGTGTACATCAGTTAAGAAGAAAAATTACTTATTTACAAAATTTTATAACAAAAACTTTTTTTTTCAAAATTTTCAGTTGGTTTTGGTTTGTTTAGCAAAAAATAAAAAACCCAGAGGTGATTAAATACCACAAAAAAAAGCTCTATCTGTCTCAAAAAAATTATAAAAATGTCATATGGGTACAGTGTTGCATGACTGTGCAATTGTCATTCAAATTGTGACAGTGCTGAAAGCTGAAAATTGACCTGGTCAGGAAGAGGGTATAAGTGCCCTGCAGGCAAGTGGTTAATTTTGGGGGGTTTCTATAAAGTTTTATTATAATTGTGTTAAGCTTTGTTGCAATCACAAGGTGCTAACAAACCCTCATGTGATAGCATCGGGTAGGTGACAGGTACTCCTTATGGAGACTTTGGGAGTCTAATAGACCTCAGTGTATCCCCTGTCCTCCAAAGTATCCAACCAAACAGAGATCTGCTCTTACATGCTTCTCTAACTATATCAGCCAGAGAATGACAGCTCTGAAACCAGAAGCAACAAAGTCATCATTGCTTCAATTTTCATTCTGGGCAGAAGAGATGGAGGGATGGATATTCCTTGGTCTCCTCCCACATGCCATTTTGAAACCCTCTGATGTGGTCGTGAGCTTCCAGTAACAACAGGAGAGTCCGGGAAAAACACAGGGAGGTGGAACCACGCTGCCTGATCTGTGAAAGTGATCGATGGCTATACAGCCACTGGATCACTTTCACCTTACAGCCAGGTGCTACTGTAGCTGAGGAAAACAGGAACAAGATGCTGGCTGCTATTGCATCTTTCAGCTTGTGCTTAACCTGTCACGTTGTGGACATACTATGTACATCCAAAGAGCTAAACTGGTTAACGTAAAAGTCCTATATAAGAGCAGACACACCAGTGTGCCCAGGGGCGGACTGACAACTCATGGGGCCCACGGGCAATAGGGGCTCATGGGTCCCCTGTGTTCTTGTCCAAACTCAAAAAAGCCTATGAAAAAGGTACCAGGGGCAACTCATGGGGCCCCCTACTGACCCCGGGCCCTCGAGCAGTGCCCGAGTTTCCAAATGGTCAGTCCGCCCCTGAGTGTGCCTCATATTCTCTTAACTTTGAGTCAGGCCTTGCCCTCAATGCCCCTCCACAGGCAAAACCTGGCTCAGGCCAGTTTCAGAAAAGGATGATTTTACTTTATAGTTAATAGCTTGACTTCTCTTATTTTGGTCTAAGTGTCCCCCACTCTGCTAAAGGAGAGCATCCTTAGTGGCCAGGGTTTGGCAGGTTTGTGGGAATTACATATTTTATTCATTTTATATATGTATTACAAGTACTTATATAACACCAACAATTTATGCAACATTGGCTTGTTGTTCCTCTATTCCTCTAACAATTCAGTGGGATTTTGTCAGGAGGACAGGACTTAAGGAGTCCTTTATTATTATTCTTACAGGTACTTTTATAGCGTCGTCAATTTAAGCAGCGATTTACATATATATTGCACATTTACGAGTCCCTGCCCTCAAGGAACTTACAATCTAAGGTCCTTAACTCACAATCATACATAAACATACTAGGGTCAAGTTAGATAGGAGACAATTAACCTACCAGCATGTCTTTGGAGTTTGGGAGCACACCAGAGTACCCATAGGAAAGCCAGGCAGATACAGGGAGAACCTGCAAACTTTTGCAGTTCCTCAAATGCAAACATTTTATATTGTATAGTTTATTTATTTATTACAGGTATTTATATAGTGTGGAGAATTTATGTGGTGTGTGTATATATACAGTGGGGATCGAAACTTTGGGCACCGCTCCCAGCTAAAAATTTGTATTAATGTGCATACAGAAGCCAAGGAAAGATGGAAAAATCTCCAAAAGGCATCAAATTACAGATTAGACATTCTTATATTATGTCAACAAAAGTTAGATTTTATTTCCATCATTTACACTTTCAAAATAACAGAAAACAAAAAAATGGCGTCTGCAAAAGTTTGGGCACCCTGCAGAATTTATAGCATGCACTGCCCCCTTTGCAAAGCTGAGACCTGCCAGTGTCATGGATTGTTCTCAATCATCGTCTGGGAAGACCAGGTGATGTCAATCTCAAAGGTTTTAAATGCCCAGACTCATCTGACCTTGCCCCAACAATCAGCACCATGGGTTCTTCTAAGCAGTTGTCTAGAAAACTGAAACTGAAAATAGTTGATGCTCACAAAGCTGGAGAAGGCTATAAGAAGATAGCAAAGCATTTTCAGATGTCAATATCCTCTGTTCGGAATGTAATTATGAAATGGCAGTCATCAGGAACAGTGGAAGTTAAAGCAAGATCTGGAAGACCAAGAAAAATATCAGACAGGACAGCTCGCAGGATTGTGAGAAAAACAATTTAAAACCCACGTTTGACTGCACGATCCCGCCAGAAAGATCTGGCAGACACTGGAGTTATGGTACACTATTCCACTATAAAGAGATACTTGTACAAATATGGTCTTCATGGAAGAGTCATCAGAAGAAAACCTCTTCTACGTCCTTACCACAAAAATCATTGTTTGAACTTTGCAAATGAACATATAGACAAGCCTGATGCATTTTGGAAACAAGTTCTGTGGACGATGAGGTTAAAATTGAACTTTTTGGCCGGAATGAGCAAAGGTACGTTTGGAGAAGAAGGGGCACAGAATTTAATGAAAAGAACCTCTGTCCAACTGTTAAGTATGGGGTTGGATCAATCATGCTTTGGGGTTGTGTTGCAGCCAGTGGCACAGGGAACATCTCACGAGTAGAAGGAAAAATGGATTCAATAAAATTTCAGCAATTTTTGGATGGTAACTTGATGCCATCTGTGAAAAAGCTGAAGTTAAAGAGAGGATGGCTTCTACAAATGGATAATGATCCTAAACACACCTCGAAATCCACGGGGGATTACATCAAGAGGCGTAAACTGAAGGTTTTGCCATGGCTTTCACAATCTCCTGACCTCAACATAATTGAAAATCTATGGATAGACCTTAAAAGAGCAGTGCGTGACAGACAGCCCAGAAATCTCAAAGAACTGGAAGACTTTTGTAAGGAAGAATGGGCAAAGATACCTCAAACAAGAATTGAAAGACTCTTGGCTGGCTACAAAAAGCGTTTACAAGCTGTGATACTTGCCAAAGGGGGCAGTACAAGATATTAACTCTGCAGGGTGCCCAAACTTTTGCAGACGCCATTTTTTTTGTTTTCTGTTATTTTGAAAGTGTAAATGATGGAAATAAAATCTAACTTTTGTTGACATATTATAAGAATGTCCAATCTGTAATTTGATGCCTTTTGGAGATTTTTCCATCTTTCCTTGGCTTCTGTATGCACATTAATACAATTTTTTAGCTGGGGTGCCCAAACTTTCGATCCCCACTGTATATATTTAGCACATTCACATCAGTCTCTGCCTTCAAGGTGCAAAATGTAATGTGTACACCCCAATAGGGCCTATTAAGACAGAAGCCAATTAACCTATCAGCATGTCTGTGGTGTGTGGGAGTAAATTGGAGTACCCAGAAGTAACTCATGCAGGTAACGTTGTTAAGATTAGGTTTTTCTCGATTGTCTTAGCTATTATGGTGCTCCACAATATGGCCTCAGTTCAGTAAGTGATAGCATGACAGTAAGTGCATTTGTCTAAAGCTGGCCATACACTATGTGCATTTTGGATGGTTTCTATTGAACTGCCTTGTCGCCACCTTCCTACCCAACATCCTTCAAATGAAAATTCAAACAGAAAATTGTCCACTGGTGCTAGCTGTCAGAATACTATAACCTCAGTGCGTGATTCATCCATCCAGTTTATAGTGTAGATAGAGGAATCTTTTAGAAATCTTACCGTGTATGGCCATATGTGTCTAAATGTGTATTAGATCTGCACTTTAATAGTAATACAAACAATAGTTATATTTGCCAATACAATATAAGCTGCGTATCTTATGGTCATCTCTTTCCACAACTTCCTGGATTCCCTGCATGTTTTGCAGCTTCTCCTCTGCTGTTTACTTTCCATTTCGAAGAACTTCATATCCCATGGTACCTTGCTGCCTGCAAGCTGTGATTTTTGTTCTGACTCAGCCTCCTGAAACTCCTCCTCTCAGCATCTCTGTAGTTCAGAAGGCAGGATCTGTGAAATGTGTGACACAGCAGTGCCTACTCACAGGACATTGTGACTATGTGTTACAGAATTCAAGGAATAAATATGTGGGGATCTTCACATAGTAAGTTTGCAAACTCCAGGATCATTCAGATTATTAGGAGTAGGCTAGAAATAATTGAAATGCAATGTGGAAAAATATAAGGATTTTATATTTTGACCATAGATACTCTTTAGGTTTCCACCCGCCCATAGAACCCTTTAGAAAACATAGGCAACTTCCATATCAGTCATACCCACACTGAATGCTCGGACAATTCACCGATTTTTTACACACCTTTTTCTGCATTACCCTAATCACACATAACATTGTACAAACATTTTTTTGTAGAGTACAGTTGCTGCTCACCACTTTTTTTTGTTATTTATATGATTTTATATATTATGTTTATACAGTATGTACTGTATATGTACATGAATTTTGATATCCTATTTGTCTATTGATTTATTTATTATTAGTGTATG